GAAGTCTCGAAATGCAATCTTGTCATGGCAGGTGCACTGGTAATCGCCGTCGGGTCCATGGCTGCACGTCCCTGTGTGGCAACCAGGTGCAGACACATAGATACGCAGAACCGACAGCATTGATCAGCTGCTCAGCGGCGCTGACCGAGCTCTGCTTTCCCTGGTGTTCTGTCTTTGTTATGTTGTTTGGATCCCCCACACAGCCGCTTGCCGTATGGATCGCACGTGACTGCAGGACAGTACAGATGGACAAATGCAGCGGCATACAATGCATTATTTCCTTCCCTGTTTGTGCCTACCGAAGCATTTCTGGTCTCCAGTTTTGTCAATGCCCAGTTGGAAACCCTCCACGCACTGACACATCTGCATGTAGCCAATTACCCCGTGCCCCGTCGTAACCGCTGAGTACTCCGGCTTGGTGTGAGCTATGCATGTGCACAGGTAGTCATCGTCCTCTCGTGGCTCGCAAAACCCGATGCGCTTCTGTGGGTCTCCAGGCAGCTTGTTCATGACGGCGTTTGGATTTTCAGCGCCGATGATGTCCAGTTCCGCACAGAGATAGTCACCGAGTCCCTTGCAGCGGCCTGCAACAAAGAGCTGTTTCTCTCTGACTTTCTTCCTCACACTTGGTGGCTGCTCACTCAGGCATTTCTTATTGCTGGTCGAAGGGAAGTAGCCGAGGTCTGCGTTGCACTCACAGCGAGAGAGGTCCAGGTCCCATTCGTCAAGCACACACTTTCCTCTCTTGGCTCGCGGGTATTTGCTGTAGTCGGCTTTCTCTCCACTGCAAGGCCGCTCCAGGGCCTCAGGACACGATTCTATAACATACATAGAGCACAGACAGACAGCATGCTGAGACACACATGGAGCCAATTGAGTGGAGCCGTTGCTCACTTCCAGCGCCTCTACAGAAGGGGGTCTGCGTGATTGGGTGGGTCTCGGGCGTCGGCAGCGCATACTCAGTGGCGCACTTACAATCATATGACTGGCTGGGGGACTCCCTGATGGCGCCTGCGTCAGTAGAGTTGTCGCCCTTAATGCACGTGCCCTTTCGGCCTTCCTTGCCACCGCACATGTCCTTGCCGAGAGCCTCGCAGTCCGCTGACCAACACGCAGGCCACAAGATGAGATACAAGCCGGCAGTGATGGTGACTGGAGACACTCCTTGTCACCGCGCACCTGCGCAGAACGGAAGGCCCTCTTTCTGGTAGTAGCCGTCTTGTGTTTTTCTGTCCTTGACGAACTTGAGCTGCTTGTAGCTGTCATTGCAGGTGCACTTGTACGCCTACGAAGACAGACAGGCAGAGTTATGCAAGACGCAAGTCGTTGACTCATCAATGGTCTCCACTCTCACCTCCTTGCTGCCCTCAAATCGAAAGCAGTTGCCCCGCACGTACGTCTTGTACTCTTCGCGGTCCTGTTGCAGTGACGGGCCGGCGCACCATCGCTTGCCGTCAGACTCGCAATCTTGAGGTTCTGGACACGATCGCACGCACAGAGGAAAGAAGGATAAATGAGTCCGCTTGGACGTTGCATCAAGAGGGCTCCCTGACTTTTGCATAGCGGGGTCCCATAGAAAGGATCCGTGCCCGACTCAATGTTGTCGTTGCACGTGCACCTGTAATGGCCGTCTTTGTCGAGGGTGTCATCGTGGCAGGTGCCCAGACCTCCGTCTTCGTCTTCCTGGCACAGCTCCTTGCCGAGGCTCGCGCACGTCGCTTAAGAAAGAAAGCACAAAAGCAAGGCCGGCCTCGGCTGAACGCTTGGCACGACACAGCTGCCTGCCTGCTTGCCTCCCATCACCGTGGCAGACGGATTTCTTCTTGGCGTTCGTCCCTCTTACAATCTTGTCGTTGAATTTCTCCCCGACACAAGTACAAGTGTACGCCTGAGAAGACGCAAAACGGCGACATAGCAAAGACCGGCCGCGACAGGTCGACACGGCTTACGTCATTCTCGTTGTCCATTTGGTCACATGTACCCCATTTCTTAAAAGGGCCCTCGCAGTTTCTCTGATATTCCTCGGAGCATCGCGCCTGACACATGTGCAGCTTTCGGCCCTTGAACCCAGTGTAGAAGTCTCGAAATGCAATCTTGTCATGGCAGGTGCACTGGTAATCGCCGTCGGGTCCATGGCTGCACGTCCCTGTGTGGCAACCAGGTGCAGACACATAGATACGCAGAACCGACAGCATTGATCAGCTGCTCAGCGGCGCTGACCGAGCTCTGCTTTCCCTGGTGTTCTGTCTTTGTTATGTTGTTTGGATCCCCCACACAGCCGCTTGCCGTATGGATCGCACGTGACTGCAGGACAGTACAGATGGACAAATGCAGCGGCATACAATGCATTACGTCCCTCCGTGTTTCCTATCTGTGCCTACCGAAACACTTCTGTGCTCTGGTGGTCTTGTCAATGCCCAGTTGGAAACCCTCCACGCACTGACACATCTGTGTCTTGATGGTTTGTTGTGTCCCCATCACAACTCCTAAGTGGTCTGGGATGTCCTTCTTGCAGGTGCGCTGGTAGTCATCGTCATCTTCATCCTGATAAGTCCCGATGTGCATCTCCGGTTTCGAGCGGCCTCCAGGCAGCTTGTTCATGACGGCGTGCGGGTCTCTGGCGGTGATGATGTCCAGTCCCGCACAGAGATAGTCACCGAGTCCCTTGCATTTGCCTGCAACAAAGAGCTGTTTCTCTCTGAATTTCTTCCTCACACTTGGTGGCTGCTCACCCAGGCATTTCTTATTGCTGGTCGAAGGGAAGTAGCCGAGGTCTGCGTTGCACTCACAGCGAGAGAGGTCCAGGTCCCATTCGTCAAGCACACACTTTCCTCTCTTGGCTCGCGGGTATTTGCTGTAGTCGGCTTTCTCTCCACTGCAAGGCCGCTCCAGGGCCTCAGGACACGATTCTACAATATGCATAGAGCACAGACAGACAGCATGCTGAGACACACATGGAGCCAATTGAGAGTGGAGCCGTTGCTCACTTCCAGCGCCTCTACAGAAGGGGGTCTGCGTGATTGGGTGGGTCTCGGGCGTCGGCAGCGCATACTCAGTGTCGCACTTACAATCATATGACTGGCTGGGGGACTCCCTGATGGCGCCTGCGTCAGTAGAGATGTCGCCCTTAATGCACGTGCCCTTTCGGCCTTCCTTGCCACCGCACATGTCCTTGCCGAGAGCCTCGCAGTCCGCTGACAACACGCAGGCCACAAGATGAGATACAAGCCCGCAGTCAGGGTGGCTGCTTGCTGCCCTATGGATACACTCCTTGTGACCGCGCACCTGCGCAGAACGGGAGTTCAGTCCATTGTTGATATTGGTCAATGATTTATCCCCAACAACGATTTTATCCCCGTCAAACAGCAGCCGCTTGTATGGATGCTGGCACGTGCACTCATATTGCTGACCACGAAAAGGAAACGGCCTCATTAGGAGCAGCTATGGAGTAATTCATCATTTTACGCTCACCTCGCTCTGAAAATTCTCGTGTCTCCAGCAGAGGCCCCGCACGTATTTCTTGTACTTGTTCTCAGCTTGCTTTAGTGATGGGCCGGCGCACCACCTGCGGCCATCCGGAGTCTCCTCACAGCTTCTCTTCTCTGCAACATGGTTCGCAAGGAGGATATGAGCTGTCCCTAATGAGACGTGTACATGTACCGCGGCAGAGAGGCAAATTGTAGTGTTCATGAAAGCCATAGTTGTCGGGATCGTCACATTGGCAGTCGTAATTGGCATAGGGACTTCGTAAGTTCTCGCCCGAATGAGGGATGCACTTGCTACATAGAGAAGGCCAGTACGCAATCAAGTGAGCTTAACCACTTCTGTCAATATATACCAATCGGATTCTTCGGCATGCGATCTGTCGTACCACCGGCACAGAGTTTCTTGCCGATCCCTTGACCATTGTCGTCGCATGTCGCTGAACATGAAACACATTCGGCGAGTCTCGGGAGCTGGCTTGTTGTTTGTGAGCGGCAGAGTTGATTTACCGGCACATATCTGTCGCTCTTTCCCCTCGATCGTCGCAGTGATAGCCTTGAAGCCGTCCTTACATTCGCATTGTTTTTGAGCCTCTTTGACGTCGTTGACTGATGGCGACTCGATGCATTCGCCGAATAGCATAAGGTCGCTTTTTGACTCTGGCGTTTCCTCGACTTCAAGAAGGGGACTGTGGGGGCCCTGACATGATGCCCGTAAGGTAGGATTCAGACAGAAGCCTAACAGACAGGACACACAAGCGATGACAGGATGTATGATAATTCTGGCCGGGGTGGTGTCTCCAACCTTAACAAAACTCTGTCTTGGCGATTTGGTGAATTCTGACATCCTCCGCCTTTTCACGATCGCACCGACACTTGTAAGCGTACGCGGGAGGCATAGCCATCAATTCGTCATATATGCTGTTCCCAAAGTTTCCTTCACACTTGCCAAATCCCTTTTCGACTCCACACATTAAATTTCCAAGCGACTCGCAAGTCGCTGCAGAAACACAGACGGTTGTATGAGGCATCATACAACTTGAAAGGCTGATCGATGACCGTCACCTGCGCAGACGATTTGGTCGGCAGGGGGTGTGAGAATCAGCTTGTTGAATGATTCTTCGTAACAGTTGCAGCTGTATGGCTATAGGGATAGAAAAGAGTAAGTGGTCATTATGTTTGCTTGCTTCATCGGTTGTTCGCACCTCGCTTTCACTTGACTGCCAGCACTCGCCTCTCCTGAAAGCTGGACTGTCGGAAGGCCCATGACATGCCCTCAATGGAATGTCTCCAAGTCCCACACATCCCATCCGCTTGCGCCGGCACGATTGTGTACGTGTGTACCGATTCTCGGCCGGGATCGTGTAACGGTCGACGCATTTGCAGCGGTAGTCGCCTCCCTCTGTGCTCTCGTCATCGATGCAAGCGCCGTACTTGTCGATTGTCGTCTCCTTGTCTGGCTTATCAGCCCGGAAGGGAACCATCTTGCCACCACTTCGATGGAGCTCTTCGCCAGCACACAGATGATAGCCAAGGTAGGAACACTTTCCTGTAACACACAATCACTCAACAGAAATGTGTGGTGTGGCGAAGTCTTTACAGACCGATGCATTTCTGCTTGGTGCTTTCAGGGTGAGGGACGAAGCCGAATTCTGCCTTGCAGGCACAGTCATACGGCTGCGGGTCCATCAAAAGGTAATCGAAGTTCGTCTTGTCGAAGTTGTCAAAGTCTCGGCCATGAATCTCTCTCAGAACATCATTCAATTCATTCTCCGCAAGCAGACACTCGCCTGGGCAAGTAAGTTACAGAACGAGACTCACCCAAATGACAAGTGTATTTTGTCTGTTTGCTAGTTGCATGCCTCTATGAAATGCGTCGTTCCTTTCGCCTCTGCACATCTTGATGCCATCCGCATCACACGACTCTGCAGCGCCGCGACAATACTGCGTCTTGGCACTTGGATGCATCTGCGGCTCTTCCAGGGCATATCTATGGCTGCAGGTGCAAGTATAGGCGCGGAGAGGAGGCTTGTGCAGCTCCTGCTTGCTCTGATGGCAGGTGCCCCTCGGTTTGTCCAAAGTGGGGCCTCTGCACATAATGCTTCCAAGGGCAGCACAGTTCGCTGCGCACACAAGGGAACAAAAGGACAGAGACACACGCTGTGTTGATCAATGGGGTGACAAGGATTGAGTCATCCGTCTTACCGACGCATATCTCCTTTTTGTTGTGCTCGCCGCTGGTCAGCTCCACTGGATACCTCGCATTATTTAGCGCTTTGCCGGGCCAGGCATAGCACTTGTATTCCTGAAGAGCAGTGGAGCAGAGTCAAGGACAGTATATGTAGTGCTGCGAGTGTACACCTGGGCGAAAAGTCTTGAGCACATAGCATTTCCCCCGCTCGTATTGCTCTGTGACGCCAGGAGGCCCTATGCAGGCTCGATCGTTTTTCGTGTCATCGCAGCCGTCAAAGTCCTTGGCTGCAGCAGAAACAGACAAGTCGAGCGTAAGCGCCGGCCGGGCATTGCACCTTTACTGCCTGATTCTTACCTAGGCACATTTGAGTCATTGTCTTTGGATGGACAGCAAGGTCAGCCTTTTCCTCCTTGCAGCCGCAGCTGTAGTCGCCTTTGTATTCACCGTCCTTGACGCCATGCTCGATACAAGTGCCTGTAAGCAACAATCCGCCTACTTTCTCATGCAGGGCTGGACCAATCAATGAAGCTTCTCATCGATGGGTGAACCATGCTCTATCTCGTTGCGATATTGTTGCATCTTCTGTTCATACGCATCTCCCTCTAGCTCGATGAACTCGTCCTTGCCGGAACAAAGGAAGCTGCCCAGCTTCTCGCAGGTGCCTGACATTGATCACATTGCCAGCGAAGTACGGAATGAGAGAGATCCATGCCGCAATGACAGACACCAGCGACATCTTACCGATGCATTTGTCGCCGTGTCTGTCTGTAAATAAGCTGGACCCAGGTCGATGGTAGTTGCAATCACACGTGTGCTGCCTCTCATCGACAGGATCTAATAGGCATTCCCCCCTGAAGAACTCCGAGTGGTGTCCGCGACAATTGAGACGAGCCACGTCGGTGCAAGCGACTGACAGTAATGCAGAGGGGAGACATCAAGTTGCTAATATCCTCTACGGGATCACCACATTTATGTACAGCTTACATCCGGCGCCTTGGCCTACAAGTCAATCAGAGACATGACAGAATGACAGAGGCCAGCAGCTTCGCACCTCTCACATCGGCTTACAGTATGGTGTCTTTGAATGTGGATGCACCTGGGGTGTGCGGAGAGCGATTCCACTTTTCGCACCGGTGCAATCACAAGTGTATGACACTGAAGGAGTCGACCCGTATGACTCATCATTTGCTATGCACTCTCCTCGCTTCTGGAAAGGGTTGTCATGTCGCTTCGGTCCGCCACACATGTCGAATCCAAGGGCTTCGCAGGTGGCTGCAAGGCCAGGCAAAGAGCAGAAGAGACACGACAGGTGGACGTACGTGCAAGTCAACAAATCACCTCCGCAGTATCTGACAGCTGCGTCTCCCGATTCCTGTCCTGTGATTGCTGCTTTATCCTCCGATAAGGGGAGATAGTGTTTATCGACGAGACAATCGCACTCATATTCCTGGCAGAAATAGTGAACAATGACTGCAGTGGTTGGAGCATTCTCCGTATTTATCGTCACCCCGGCCTCGAAATCAGGCATTTTCCAGCATGTGCCGCGCCTGTATTGTCCATCCACTCTGAGGGTGCTGGTCCTTCACACACTCTGCTTTCATCCGCGCCGCAGGCAAACTTGCCTGTGCGAAATAAGACAGAGGCACACTGTCCAAAAACACTTACTTCTCGAAATCAATGCGACGCTCACCAGCACACGTCGGCAGGTGATACTCGGTATTTAGCCGTGGCCTAGCTTTCTTTGGATCGCAGTGGCATTTATAGCCGACCGGTGATGTGAAATCCCGGGTGTGCAAAGGCTCACACCACCCAAGTGCATCTTCGTCGCTGACGGTCGCGGGTGGCTTCTGCCCTTGACATAGCGAATCGCCCAATTTCGGGCATCGAGCTGATGGACAGCAGAGGACAAGAAGGCAACCGTTGTAGAAGGGCTCTTGGCTGGCTCATTCATACCTTGAGAGAACTGTTTAAAGCTGGGCCCTTCCTTCGCCGAGGGGATAGTCATGTTGCCGACGTATCCAGGGGTGACCCCTTTATGCTCCTTTTCCTCTTCAGAGGTTGCTCCCGCCGCATGCTCAGCCTTGCTCTTGTACTCATAGCTACGACCAACGACAGCTGACTGCTCAAGCCCCTCTTCAAAGAGCTCCTCGTAGCCCCTCTTCAGCTTGAGGGCGTCAGCTTCGACTGCAACAAACCCGTCGCTGGGTCTGCATTCGTACTTGCCGTGGATGAGGGGGTCTGCAATACATGTGCCCCAAGAGAGCTCCGCTTCCTGTGGGCCGCCACACCAGCGATGGCTTTCCTCATCAGAGCACTCTCCTGTGGGTCGCACATGCCCGTTCACGGTCACACGAATGAATCGCGAGCACATGCATGAAGCATTTTCGCCCATCCTAGCTGACGAACGTGAGCAGCCTGTGTCTCACGTGGGCAGAATTCAGTTCGTGTTGCCTCGTATATCTCGGTGGTGTCGCAATCAGGGCATCTATATGCGTGCACCGCGGACTGCTCAAGGGTCTTATCATCGTCAGTGCATCCATGTGGCGGTGTCTCATGAACGCCGCACATTGCATTGCCAAGCGCCTCGCAATCAGCTGCAAATGGGCGACACAATGAGAAATTGCATGCTGGCGGGGACATGTTTCCGTCGACTTGCCTGCACAGAAGGCCTTCTGCTTCATCTCTCCAGGGTTCGTGGCGTTTTTGGCCTCGTCTGATTTCTTGTAGAGGACCCTGTAGTGCTTGTCCTCATAGCAGTCACAGTCATATTCCTGCATTCGTATACCCATCCATGTTGGTGCGTGCAATCTTGTGCGTGTCATGCTCTATGTGCTTACGCCGGGGGCAAATCTGTCTAGGCGCCAGCATTGCCCTCGATAGTAGTGGTCTACGAGTGCGGGGCCACGACATGCGCCATACTTCTCACCCTCTACCCGATCCTCATTGCGACCACACTCCTTCTTCTCTGCCCAACAGACAATCGTGTATATGAGACACAACCCAAGTGTGGATCATCGCGTGTCTACTGTCGCATGTTGGTGTGTTGCTTAGATCGTCCCATCCGTCGACAGCCCTCTTCGGATCGCACTTGCAGGTGTAGTGCCCTAAGTGCGCGATGTCCTCCTCCTCTGTCTCTTCGTTACACGTGCCAGGACTTGGGTCAATGTGGGCGCCACACAGACGGTGGCCCATGCCTTCACAGGGAGCTGAAGGAGAGACATTCGTTCGGTGAGACTGAGTGTCGTCCATTGTGCAAGCAGTACTCACCGACACATTCTGACTTGCCATCTTTATTGGATCGCTCTTCAAACCCCTCATCCTCCTTGCACCTGCACCTATACTCCTGACACAGATACCAAATGCATTGTAGGGACGGAAGCAGCTCATCGCCATCAAGGTGCTCTTACTTTGGTCTCTGCATCAAGGAGGCGGCATTTGCCCCAAGGGCGGCCAATCTCGAGGCCATTGCCGCCACAAGCTTTGATCATCGCGTCGTCCTTACATTCCACTGCATAGCAGTGCATACAAGCAACACCCATCGAAGCTCAGACAATTGAGATTGCATTCAGTCCGTCATTTACTTGGTTTGATCTTCTTGCATGGGTCATTGCCGAAGGTGAAGTAGTCCTCGTCTTCGTCGAAAAGCGGGCCGATCTCCACCGACTAGAAGCACTTGTCAGGGGACGTGCGCACCCCATGAACAGCGTGGCAGAAGGACTTGCGGGTCACACCCTCTTCGCCCTGCGGACGCATGCAATTGACTCCTCCCTGTGTCTCTGCAACGTTTTTCATATCATGCGCACCCCAGAGACAAGGTAGACCCAGGCATCGTAGATATATTCCCTTTGGCTGAGGCGCCACACCACCATTCTCGCCTGCTCCTCAGGCGGCAGGTGTCTCAGACCGCTGTGCGGCGACCGCTGACTCTCCCGTGGCTTCAGCACACGACGCTTCGGCGGCCGCTTGGCGGACCGGTGAATTGAGAGGGAGGAGTCTTCAGCGGATGCGTGCTCGATGAAGCTGCAGTGATTGGATGGATATGTGATTCGTCGGTAGGGCATCAGCTTCAGAAAAAATGAAAAGAATTGCTGATGACACACAAAAGCATGCCATCGACAGTGTCTTGGCCTGTGTCACCTTCTCACCTCTTTCTTGATCATGTTTGGGATTTTTATTTGTTGCTCAAGACGCAAAAGGGCTCTCTCAGAAGCATCGGGATATTCAAAAATATCCTGACTCATTGACACGCGTACGCACATCATTCTCCCTTCCAGCGACCCTTGAGCTTCTATTGTTCGAAGCTCAGAGATTTGTTGCGATTTCAGCACAGCAGAGGTGCGATTGTTGATGTATTCTAGCTGCAGGAAGGTTGCGGCTTTGTGAGCCTCCGCCCCCAGCTTGCCAGTGCGTATGAGGTCCAGAGTGGTGCAGATCTCTTCCTGCAGGCTTGCGATCGATAGAACAGTCGACCATCGTGGCTGCAGCACGATGCAGTTGTACAGGAACTCCGCTTCGGGAAAGCGATTCAAAGCTTCCTCCACGCGACGCATCGAACAAACTGACAAACAAGCGCATGCCTGCACACGTTGCCCTCAAAGCCGTGCCTCCTGTTGTTTACAGCATTGAGACTCTTTCGTTGCCTCCCAACATCCCATGTATGTCTCGTAGCTAAGGTCGTGCAGGTGAAGGCCCTCGACAGACGCGGAATCCTTCCATGGACAATTCTCCTCTTTTGCCTGACAAACAGGAGGGAAGGACAGCACGGCTGGCCATCTCCTGGGAGAAGAGCATACTGCCGTCTTTAAGACTCACCCCAGCAAGCAGCAGTCCCTCGAGAACATCGACTTGACTCTCGCAGTCAGGCAGAAAGGCACGTAACAAGTTGTACAGTTCCTGAAGCGAAGTGCACAAACAGAATCGGGCGGCTGCCGCTCACCTCCGTGTTTGCTGCTTGTGCACCTACCACTTTATCGACAGATTGATGGACATACGGGCTTCCCCATGCGCGCAGCGCGTGAAAGAGAAGGAGAGGCCGTGGAAGCGAGCGCACACGGGCCAGCAGGTTCAGCCAGTTGGAGCGACCTCCCCGGGAATTGAACAGGTACGTTGAAAGGGTGTTGTCAGGATACGGAGGGCCAGCGGAAGCGCTATCGCCTGAAAAGGTGGGACACGAGTGAAGGGCAACCGCCGTGCTCATGTCTTTACCTGCAACCGTGTGGCCTTCGAGCTCGTGAAGAGCATTTGACAAGTCCATCGATGACAGAACTGAAACTCAGCGCAGGAAACAGACCCGTGCTCTCACTGCACAACGCGTTGCGTTGTTCCTGCTCAGCGCACCAGATCTGCCATGTTTGACCGCCATCTTCTTTGCTTTCATCCTCTGCTGCTTTCTTCTCTTGGATGACGATCGTCCCGTTCGGTCAAAAGCGAATCTTCCTCTTGAAGCGTTGAAACTGTGACTGCCGGTGACATTGACCATCGCTGCAGATGGGAAAGGGCGCTGCAGCCCACTTTGCAAAGTGGCATTCGCCGTCTTCTCCGCCGTGGTGTTCTTGTTGTCGAGCACGGCAGCTGTGCGTCGGTCTTCTCTTCTTGGTGGAGCGTTGAAGAGGTCAACGTGCCGTGACCGCCTCTTGGGGTGATCTGAGGTCTCGTGCTGTGACCCCAGCAGGAGGAGTAACAGTAGCAAGAGCCACATATTGGCTGCAACGAAGAACCGGTGGGCTGGGGGCGTGGAAGACGCACGGTGCATGCATGCAATCGGCGATTTAGGGTTTCGTGTCGTGCTCACCGACGAGTGCGCTCTCAGCCCCCTCCGCGAGGCCATCGCCAAGGAGCTGCTACCGGCCCTCCTCGGCGGCCCTGTGACGCCGTCCGAGGTCGACCTGATGCTGCTGCCTGCCCGGCATGGCGGCACCGGCATACGTGACCCTCTCGACCGTGCCGCAGCCGCCTACCCCGCTTCCCGCGCGAGCACCAAGGTGGTCTCCAAGTCCGTCCAAGGCAAGGCTCCGTTCCACCCTGGCGACCATCGTGCCACCATCCGCCACGCCCTCACCCGGAGCAAGCAGCAGCAGGACGTCGCCCACAAGACCAAGAGGGAGGCCGCCCTGCCGCACATCGACCGCCGGCGCCATCGCGTCCTCTCCCGCAGCGCCGAGTACAAGACGTCCGGCTGGCTGACCACCCTCCCGTCGACAGACAACAACACTGGTCTTGATGCTGCGGAGTTTCGAGATGCCCTCAACATGCGTTACGGCCGTCACCCCCCCGGCCTCGCTGCACGCTGCGACCACTGCAACCAGCCCCTCACCGTCGACCATGCGCTGTGCTGCAAGCGGTACGGCCTGGTGATTCGTCGCCACGACGAGCTGCGGGACACTTTTGCCGAGCTGATTGGGATGGCGTGGGGGGACGCTGGTGTGCGTCGGGAGGTGGTGTTGAAGGAGGGAGAGGAGGGGGAGGGTGGGGTCAGGGCGGACATCGTCGCTCGGGGCGTGTGGGAGCGGCAGGCGGCTGCGTCGTTTGACATCTGTATTACGGATCCTGACGCAACGTCTTACGCTTCCAAGAACCGATCGACCAAGTCCATCCTGAAGCAGCACGAGACCGCCAAGAAGAAGAAATACCGCTCGGCCGTCTGCGACTCCCGCGTGACCTTCTGCCCTCTGGTGGTGACGTGTGACGGTGTGTGGGGACACGATGCCAACGTGTTCATCGCCCACATGGCTCATGCGCTGTTGGAGAAGGAGGGGTGGAAGGGTCGGGGGTTCAGTCATGTGTCTGGATGGATTCGCTCTCGCTTGTCTATCGCCCTCGCGCGTGCGACTAGCTTCTGTCTGCGTGGGGGAGGGAGGGGAGGGTTTGCGGGACTGGGGTGTGCTGATGGGGCGGGGATTGATCCCTCCTCCCCTTGAGCCTGTTTGACTCTGCGTGCTGATGGGACTGTATTTGTATGAGTATCACGGACACACAGACGAGTGTTACGGTTAATGACAGTTTCCCTTCTTCTTTCCTCAC